GACTGGGCAGATGTAGAAGTTGAACTGTGATGTATTTGCAACAAAGGCCTCATCCAACACTCTGAGAGCTCTTAAATTGGGGTGGTCCTTCAGAATTGTCTTGAAGCAAGTGCCTGAGGCCTGGATACCCAGCCCTTAACTGAGCAGCCATTGAAAGGGATTACCATGAGTTAGCTGCTGGTGCGCCTTGCAGTCTTGATGAAGTGGGGATACGAACAGTTCACTCTAGCATCACTACAGCATTGAAACTGTAAATTGGGTCATGTGGAATTGTTTGAGAATTGAGACTGGTGATATAAAAAAAATTTTTTATTGAAATAATATTGCATTATAATGTTATATGAGTTTTGGATGTGCACTATTATAAATCAACATCTATGTATACTATGTTAAATTCACCACTGAAAGTCCAACTTTATCCTTCACCATGCAATTGACCCCTTTTACCTGACTTACCCACCACTCCTTACACATTCTCTTTAGGTAACTGCCAATTTCGGTCTTAGAGTCTAAATTTTATTTAATTTTTAATTTAGTTTGCTTGTTTTGTTTCTCTATGTACTACATATGAGTGAAAGCATATGGTGTTTGTCTTGCTTGATTTGACTTATTTCACTAAGGATAATACCCTTTAGGTCTATTTGTATTATTGTAAATGGCAGGATTTCATCTTTTTTTTTTAAATAGATGAATATATATGCATTAGTGGCATACATAAAAAATATCCATTGTATATGTATACCATATCTTTATCCAATCATCTGTTGATTGGATGAACCTCTCAATCACTATCTATTAGTGACTGTAAATAATTGGCAATGAACATAGTGCATATATCTCTTAGGGTTTGTTTTTTTCTATTATTTAGGTAAATACCCAGAAGTAGAATAATTGGACCCTTTTCTATAGAGTTTTTATAGAATTGTGATATTTGAATAGCAAATTATATTAGATCTATCTATTTAGCTCTGAGTTCTGGAGCTCAGAGAATCAAGAAAAAGCAAATGTGAAATTTAAGTATGAAGTAAAAAAATCCCAATTCCCATTCAAAATATGTTCACCAAACAAAATATCTTTGCCTGGAAGGAAATTAATCTCATTCACTGTAGCCAAGTATGTGTTATCTCACTTTGTTGCAATTCTCAGATAGGGCTTTTTCACAAGTTGAAGGTCTGTGGCAACTCTACCTTGAGAAAGTCAGTAGGTAACCACAGTAAGTGTTCACTTTGGGTCATGCTTTGGTATTTTTGCAACATTTTAGACATTTTCATTCTTATATCTGTTCTGGTGATCTGTGACCTTTGAGGATACTATTGTAATTATTTTGGGATGCCTAGAACTGTGTCCATATAAGATGACAACCTTAATAAATATTGTGTACGTTCTGAGTGTTTCACCCACCTGCCATTCCCCTGATTCCCTCTCTCTCCTTGGGCCTACTTATCCCCTGAGATACAACAATATTTAAATCAGGCCTGTTAATAACCCTATGATAACCTCTGTGTTCACGTGACAGGAAATGTCACATTTTTCTCATTTTAAACCAAAGGTTAGAAATGATTAAGCTGAGTGAAAAGAAGTCATGTCAAATGCTGAGAGAGACAACAAATCTAGGCCTATTGCTTTGACCAATTAGCCAGGTGTAAATGCAAAGGAAAAGTTCTTGAGGGAAATGAAAAGTGTACTCTGGTGAATACATGCACAAGAAACTGAAATAGCCTTATTGCTGGTAAGGAGAAACTTTTAGTGAGTGATCTGGGTTAAAAAAAAAAAAGCCACAGTATTTGTTTAAATAAAAGACTCATCCAGAGTAAGACCCTAACTTCTTTGATCAGAAGAAGGCTGAGAGAGTAAGGAAGGGAAGGTGCAGAAGAAAAGTTTGAAGCTAACAGAGTTTGGTTCATAAGGTTTAAGGGAAGAAGTCATCTCCATAACATAAAAATGGAAGGTGAAGCAGCAAGAGCTGACAGAAAAATTACAGCAAGTTATCCAGAAAATCTAAGTGAGGTCAATGATGACAGTGATTACACTATAAACAACAACTGTTCACCATAAATGAAATATTCCTATACAGAAAGAAGATGGCATCTAGGACTTTTGTAGCTGGAGAGAAGTTAGTTCCTGGCTTCAAAGCTTCAACGGACAGACTGATTCTCTTCTTAGGGGCTAACACAGATGGTGACTTTAAGTTGAAACCAATGTCCATTTATCATTCTGAAAATCCCAGGATCCCTGAGAATTATGCTAAATCTACTATGTCTGTGTTCTTTAAATGAAACAACAAAGACTGGATAGTACATCTGCTTACAACATGGTTTACTGAATATTTTCAGCCCACTGTTGACCATACTGCTCAGAAAAAAATATTCCTTTCAAAATATTACTGCTCATTGACAATGCAACAAGTCACCCAAAAGCTCTGATGGAGATGTACAAGGAGATGAATGTTGTTTTTATGTCTGCTAACACAACTTTCATTCTGTAGCCCATAGATTAAGGACTAATTTTGACTTTCATGCCTTATTAGTTAAGAAATATATTTTTGAAGATTATAGCTGCTATAGTGATTCCTCTGATGGATCTGGGCAAAGTCAAGTGAAAACCTTCAGAAAAGGATTCACCACCCTACATGTTAGTAAGAACATTTGTGATTTAAGGGATGTCAAAATATCAACTTTAATAGGAGTTGAAGTTGATGCCAACCCTCATGGGTGACTTTGAGGAATTCAAGACTTCACTGGAGGGACTAACTGCAGATGTAGTAGAAATAACAAGAGAACTAGAATTAGAAGCAGAACCTAAAGATGTGATTAAATTGCTGCAATCTCTTGATAACATTTTAATTTTAATGAGGCATTGCTTCTTATAGATAGGCAAAGAAAGTGGTTTTATGAGTGGAAACTATTCTTGGTAAAGATGCTATGAAAAACTTTGAAATGACAACAAAGAATTTAGAATATAACCTAAGACCTTGTTGATAATGCAGTGCAAGGTAATTTTAAACCTAAATAATTATTAACGTTTAACGTATTAGTTGTTGACTTCAACTTTGCCACTAAAATGTATTTCATTATAAAAAATGAGGCAAACCTGGCAAAAGTGACATTTTAAAATTAGCAGTGATGTGCAAATAGTTGTTTGTAGTAAAACAAAACCCAACCAAATAACAAGAGAAATTAGAGTGGAGTTAGAATTCTATTAAGTAACCTGGAATAACAGAAATGCACACCCAGAATTGTTAGAATTTGTTATATTAGTGCAAATCAGCACATGAATGAATCAGAACTTAGAAGTCATATTATAGTGCAAAAAAAGGTATAAAAATTAACATGTAAAATCCGTTTAATTATTACTCTTCCATCATTTCTTTCTCAAGACCTCATATGGGCATCCATTTAAAAAAATTACCTGAAGGGCCCTCCCTGGTGGTGCAAAGGGTTATAGCGCAGTCTTAGGAAGCTAACTGCAGCTGCCTGAGCAGGAGTTCCATCCCCAGCCTGGGAGCTGACTCCCATGGCACAGCAGACCTCATTGTCCCACCCGCTGCTCCCCTCAGAAGTGTATTTCGTCAGTCTGTCTGTTCTGCTTCCCACTGTCTCTGGTGGGTCCTCTCACACACACCCCACCCTCCACCTTTGGCCCGTACCCCAGGTTTGTATGCATAAATACATAAATCTTTAAAAAAATTATCTGAAGCCTTAACCCTGCTCTAATTTGTTCTTTGCCAGGCTTCTGTAAGAGCCCAATCACCTAGCCATTGTTTTCATGAAACTACTTTCTACACACACACATGAATAATTAAGAGCCAACATCTCAAATAATTTGATAAGGTCTTCATAGCTACTCACCAGAAATAAACAAAACAACAATCCCAAACTGTCATGACCAGAATGATTGAATCTGCTTTCAGTAGGATAAAGGGTATCTACTGACCATGGAAAGAAAATATCATAGTTTATGGCAAAATTTAGAAGGGATAAGATGTGGATCACCTTGTCAACCACACGGTTCAACCTGAACATGAAGTAATATACAATTAAAAAGACTAAAGAAATATAAAATATAAGAGGTTTGTCAAAAAAGAGACTATAGTTTACATTATTTTGGAGACTGTCTTTATTAACCAACCAAGAAAAACTACAGATAAACCATTAAATAAGTTAATTTTGCTGAATACCAGCTCAACTTAAGAAACAACTTATTTCTATACACCAGTAACAATGTACAAATACATTCAGGATTTTAGAAATATTAAATCACTATAAAAAGAACAACAACAACAAAAACTTCAGAATTTCAAACTCCAGGAGAGGAAAATTGTATTAAAAATACATAAGGACAATGGAAAAGAGTTGGTTCTTTGGGACTCCCACGCCCCCCTACCCCACAATAAAGTCAAACTCTTTGCTAATTTGTCATTAATAAGAGGAAGATACATCATCTTTGACCTCATTTTGTATTTGTTTTATATCAAACAAACATTTGTCCACATACATCTATCTCCTAGATCTCCCACAGCAGTCAGAATCACCATAGAATAGCACAAAATGTTGGGAAGTTCGTCATAAACTAGCACATGACTAGGGCCAAAACCATTAAAATAAACTTAAGAATGACACTAATTTGGGAGAAAAGGGGGTGCGTCGGTAGGGTGCTGGGGAAAGGACAGACTTTTAGAAAAAGTGCTGGTGCTGAATTTGACGCAAACCAGGGGGGCAGAATGGCCGGAGGGAAAACCACTGTGAGCAGCAATCCGGATGTCTCAAGTGCACTACATTCCAAGCAGCATGCTCTGCTGGTGTAGTCTTCCTTTCAGAGATTTTAGTCTGCCAATGTTAGAAAGCATTGCAATGCTGAATTAAAAAAAAAAGAAAGAAAGAAAGAAAGAAATTTGTCCCTTATCCAACCTTGGTAACTCTTGAAGACTGCGCAAAATAATACTGCTATCAGAAGCACCTCTTCTGTTCTCTGCCGGGTGGCTAGGGGTTATGGGAGGAAGTTCAATCCAGGAACAGGCGTCTCCGGGCCTTGGGGTGAGGACCCGGAGGGCGCTGGGGGCACCCTTGGGGACTTGGGTTCGGAGATGGTGGTAGAGGTTGCAGTGGCGAGTTGGGCAAAGGCTCTAGCAGGCGCAGCTTGAGACTGAAGTAGGGGCCAGGAGAGCGTCTCTCTGGACTAGGGGTGGGGGCCCAAGTCGAGGGCTCTAGGATGAGGCCTTGAGGGAAGGGGCTAGACACCCCAGCAGCCACAGGGCGGAGCCCAACCACTGGGTCAGCTGCATGGTCCATCCAAGGAGGCGGGAGCTCAGGGTCTACCTCGTTGTCGTCGTCGTCGTCATCATCGTCATCATCGTCTTCGTCGTAGACCTCCTCTTGGGCGGCGATCTCTGGGGAACAGGCGCAGAATTCCTGCTCGATAGCAACAACTTCTCCCAGAGCTCCCAGGAACGCACCAGGTTCTAGGCCGACAGGAAAGCGGCCCTGCCCTCCGAGATGTTGGTCGCCAGAACCAAGGAGGGCCTCGGGAACCAGCATGAGGGTGTGCCCTCCGAGAGACACCTGCAGGACCGACGTTGGCTCGGGTTCTAGCACCAGGTCGACATCGTCGAGGGGCACCTTTAAGGCACAGCCTGCAGCCAGGACCACCACGGAGGAGACCGCGCCTGCGGCCTGGGGTCCCGTGAGGTCTTCCAGGCTGGGCGCCATCTCGAAGTCGGGGCCTTCAGGTTCCTGGGATCGTAGGCGCTTGGCAGGGTGTGGTTCCCCAGGCGGTTGGACCCACCAGGGTGCTGGATAGGCGCTGGGGCTGCGGGGTCTGCTGCCCATCACCTGGCTGGTGCTGCAGGTGGTGCTCGCCGGCACCTGGCTGAAGGCGTGGGAGGGGGCTGGGTCCTGGCTGCAAGGACAGTCCTCGATGCTAGGCTAGGCGAGCTCAGAGCAGCGGGGGTGCAGGAGCACGTGACGCGACGTGACGTGGAGCTTGTGTCAGGAGGTCTGAGGGTTCCTCCTGCGAGCGCAGCATTCAGGGGATTCCGAGTGAGGATAGCCCTCGCGCTCGCGTTGGACTCTGGTTCCTCACGCCGGATGCGGATGAAGTTGCAGTGACGTCAGTAGAACCAAAGTCGCAAAATGTCACGCTAAAGTTCCGCCCTTTTCTGAGGCTCCGCCCTATACAGTATTGTGCCGCCCAATAGCCGGGGCTGTGGTTAGTAGGTCAGCGTAGGGAAATACTTTCATAGGCCTCTAGAGGGCCGAGCCACCGAGCAGCTCTAGGACTTGACTTCTGGCGTCAGTTCTTGGCCTTCTCTTCCTGGAGTGGATTTCAGATGCAGAGCACTCTATTTGGAAGACTGAGAGTTTCAAGGCCCCGCTAGGGAACGCTGCCCCAGGAACTGAGATGTTAAGCCCCTCCTCCCCCAAGGCCCTGCCCCGGAAGCACCCTGCCCTCTTCTTTTGGTCCAATAGTGGGGTGAGTTTTTGAATTACATCTTTAGGCGTCTGTCGCCCATGTTGTGAATGATTGGCAGAAGCTTGCCGCCGTATTGGAAGGGAAAGTGCCATACTAGGGTTGAATGTGATAAAACAACAGCTCCAGCACCATTAGCTTGGTACTGCACTGCACTGTATTACATATCTATATCTAATCAATTAGGATTATAATAATTATGATACCACTAACAACTGACGTAAGTATTTACTTTAACTGGACTTAAGCTACAGCCAGGAAGTATATCTATTTTAGTTAAATTTCCATTTGGTCATTAGAAGAATTAACCTGTTTGCCCAGAAGCCCGGAAATGGAGTCAGTACCCACTTAAAATGGAGTCAGCGACTATGATTTGAGCGTTAATTTAAAGGCATATGTTTTAAGGCCTGGTGTATTGTGGCTATAAAAGGGAAGGTGTGGATCAACTCGTTATCTAGTATGTATATAGAAGAAAACACCCCATAATGATTTGGGGATAGATAGTACTTCCTCATGGCTCCAGAGGACAAGGAAACGCCCTCCAATCCTTATCCTTTAGCCACGCTTTTGCTTACTTGGTCACTTTTGACTAAAGGGCGCACTGTATACTCTCACTTTGGGGCTGCATACCATTCCTTTGTTTGGACTTTCCATTTAAATCTGGCTTCCCTTGATCTGCATTTAAGCTAGTGGTTCAGACATTTATGGAAAACACCAATTCTCTGCCCTACTGCAGAATCACTGAAGCAGAATTCTTGCAACATGCAGCCTAGGAGTTGTCTCTAAGCGCCTCAGTTTAGTCTTTTTTTTTTTTTGGTGGTTGTTTCATGCTAGAGCTTAGATCATTTCATTTAGCAGTTGAGGTGTTTGGATGAGGGGAGATGTTTACACATCAAGTCAGGACTTTGTTAGTGACAAAGTCATGAGGGAACTAAAACTTTCTGGGCCCTGTTTGAGGTTTTCCCCAGCCCAACTGCCCTACAACCCCTCTTTTTAAATTTTCCGTGTTTCCAGATGTGCAGCGGATCTTTCTCCTGGGCGGTGCCATTCTGGGAGAACCGTTCTGCTCCCGCTCTGGGTCAGCGTCTGCGGTTCCTCACGGGGAGAATACAGACACTGCCACAGGAGCTCAAGTCCTGGATCCCTGGTGAGTGGAGAGGCCGCTGTGTGCCTGGTGTCCAGGCAGAGGGTGGCGGCAGTTGTGATAATGGTGATGGTGAATTTTCAGGAGTGCTTTTACCCTCCAAAATTCTGTTTGTGACCCTTGTACATTCCACGCTCAGGGAAGAACAGAAACACCATTCATGGAGAGTGTTGGTGGACATGTCATGGTGTAAGGGACATATGGGCGAGCCCACAGTCGGTCAGGACAGAGACGGAAGTGAGGCCCTGACTAGTGCCACCTGGTGTCTGCTGCTTGCCTGACCTCAGGGGCTTCTCTGTGAGCTCATCATCGTACTGGGCCCTGAATTCTCACTGTGAACTCCAAGTGAGTGTGTTCCTGCCCCAGGTGGAAGCAATTTACAAGGGAGAAGGAATAGACCCATCCTTGTCTGGGTGGTCATGGACAAGTTATTTCAAATTAAGTCTAACCTTGCAATGGGGAGAATGCCTTCTGCTACATTGGATGATTGTGAGAGAATATATGTAAAATGCTCCTGGCACATAAAAGTACTTAGCAAATACTTTTTACTGTTTATGATCTCTCTCTTTCATTTGACTGTGCCAGCCCCGTTCCCCAGCCTCTTAAACAGTGCATGGCATGCTCATTGATTGGTTAAAAAAAAAAAAAATGAAGGTGCTCAATGAATGTACAAAATATCATCATCCTGATTCTAAAAAGGGACATATGGGCAAGATCAGACCTGACAGTACTTGTTCTAGGTATTTTCATGGAAAAATGTTTATGTCATGGTTCAGGAATGATTTGTGGATACCAGATTAGATATCTTTCAATTTCCTTAATTTTACTTTCCTCCAAGACATCCAAAAACTGTCAGTGTATTATCATTGGACTTCCTTGGTGTCCATCAATACTGCCTAACCAATTAGCATGCTTCAACCATGGGGTTTGGAATTTAGTGAATATTTCTTCAGAGGCTGGGCCAAGTAAAAGAAGGATATCATTGGGAAAAGAAAACCCAGGCATTTGGATACAGGGAACTATATGCAAGGTGGGCATTGTTGAATGGGACCTAAGTTAATGGTAATTTTTCAAGTAATGATTACTGGTAAGTTTATGCAGTTGTGTTACCATCTCTACAATCCAGTTTTAGAACATTTGCATCACCTCAAAACAGTTCCTTGCATTTAATCCCTGCTCAAACCCCCAGACCTAGACACTTGCTGATTACTGCTTTTTCTGTAAATTGCTTCCTTACTAGATATTTTATGTAAGTGAATCATAGAATATGTGCTCTTTTGCGTATGGCTTCCTTCAACTGAGCATACTGTTTTTGGGGTTTACTCCTGTTGTAGCAGTTACCCATGTTGTATCTATGTTGTAGCATGTTGTATCAGTATTTCATACTTTCCCTTGCTCAATAGTATCTGTTGTATGGATATATGACATTTTATCCATTCAGGAGGTGCTGGACACACCTTAGATTTTTCTGTGTGGGTGTTGTGTACTGAAACCCTCTGAACATACTAGTTCGGGAACATTTTGGTGGGTTCCTTGGGAAAGATCTTATCGTTTGAGAATAAAAATAGTTTTTCTTCTCACTTTCCAATTGGATTCCTTTAATTTACCCTTTTTTTTTTCTATCTTTATTGCTAGGGCTTCCAGTAAAATGAATTTAAGTGGCCATCAGTGATATCCTTGCCTTGTTTCTGATTGTAATGAGGCAAGTACCAATCTCCTTTCACCATTAAGCATCATGTAAGCTATGAATTTTTCTTAGATGCCTTTTATTAGGTTGATAAATATGCCTTCTTGTCTTAGGTTATTGAGAGTTAGTACAATGAATGGGTTAGATTTTTGTCAGGTGCTTTTTTCTGTATTATTGACTATATCACCTTGTTTTAAAATTTTATTAATATACTGTATTATTACATTAATTAGTTTTTAGATCTTAAAAGATTTATTCATTTTTGTGTAGAAGAACTGGGGTATAGGCCAGAGGAGCGAGGGGTGGGGGTGGGGTGAGAAGATTCACTAGAGATAGGGTGGGGAGTAAAACAGGCAGATTGACTGTAATACATTGCTAAAGGGAGCAGTGTGTGCGACAGGAGAGGTCTGCTGTGCCATATGTGGGTTAGCTCCCTGGCCAGATCAAACTCAGGCCCTAGCTGTGGTGGCACTTAAGCTACTTAAGTTCAGAGGGTTTTAGTACACAACATCCATACAGAAGCTATGAGACTTAATCCCTAGGCCACTAGGGAGGCCCCAGTTTTTTGATTTTTAAAACAACCTATATTCCTTGGATAAAGGCCACTTGCTATTCTGTGTAAAGCATTTTTATTTGCTGTTTTATTTGGTTTTCTAATATTTTTGTTAAGGATTTTTGCACTTGTGTTCATGAGAAATATTGGCCATTAGCTTTCTTGTGTAATGATGTCTTCATTTGGTTTAAATATTAGGGTAATACTGGCTTCATGCCAAAAGTTGGGATGTTTTATCCTCTTCTATTTTATGAAACTTTGTGAATAATTGGTATAATGTCCTCTTTAAGTATCAATAGAAATCACTGGTGGGCTCTCTAGACATGGTCTTTTTGGTGGGTAGATTTTGATAATTTAATTTTTAAAAACTCATTGTAGGTCTGTTAGGAATACTGCTTTTTCTTAAGTCAGTTTAGCAAATTGTATCTTTCTAGGAATTTATCCACTTCATCTAAGTCATCTTACTTCTTGGCACAAATTTGTTCATAATGTTTTTAAATAACCCTTTTCATTTGTTTTTGTTCTGTTTAAAATATTTTCCAGTGTCCTTTTTGGTTTCTTCTTTGACCCATGTATTATTTATAAGTATGTTGCTTAATTTGTAAGAATTTGGAAAAATTTCAGAGTTCATTCTTTTGTTGATTTATAGTTTAATGCTGTTGCATTCAGAAAATATTCTTTTTAAGATTTCAGTCTTTTTTTTTTTTTTAAAGATTTTGTAATTTATGCATACAGAACTGGGGTACAGGCCAGAGGTGCAGAGGCAGTGAGAGGATTCCCCAGAGACAGAATGGGGAGCAGGACAGGCAGATTAATGAAGTACACGCTGAGGGGAGCAGCGGGTGACACAGGAGAGGTCTGCCACGCCATGTGGGTCACCTCCCTGGCTGGGGATTGAACTCACACTAAAGCAGCTGCTGCTAGCTTGCAGTGCCACCGGGCAGGGCGAGATTTCAGTCTTTTAAAGAGTTATTGA